TGACTCACAGCAAGGCATAATTTGCCCACAGTGCCTTTAGCTGCCTTTTTACAGAATCAGGTAATTGCTGCCCTCACACCTCTGCGAAATATTTTGGGGTCCTTAGGTTGAAAAGTTGCTGCACCTTCCAACTCATCATCATGAGCTGCTTCACAAAATGCTCCTAAACCAGCAAATAACTCCCATCTGCCCTCTGGTCTCCACATCCCCGTGGATCAAAGCCACAGAGGTTGTGTAAGCAGGGGAATGCTGGATGACTTTTGCTTTCAAGCAGGCAGTGGGGAGTTTGGATTTGAATTTCTGACAATGACGCAGCTTGTTGGAGCCATTCTGCATTGAAATGGGGTCTTATTCGGTGCTGCTAATAAGAGGGTAAATGCAGCTAAATACAGCTGTCTTCCTCACTGTCATTTGGTATTTATTAGCAAATATGCAGTGGAATTGAATCCCTTGTAAGTACTCTGCAGCTAATGGTAGATAGCAATTAGCTGAAATGACTACTGTGAGCACTGATGCTGCCTCAGTGAGGGGAAGGGGAAATCTGGAGCCAGCACACACACCCAGCAGCTTCCAGAACTCCCTGTAGTTCCCCCCCTGGATTCTCTGTTTCATGCCCTGAGCAAAAGACTGCAGTGAAAATCACTTTGTGTGGGTAATCCCTGGAGCTCCAGCTTGAGCAAACACCTCCCCAGCAGCAATAACTGTGTGTGGATATTATTATTTTCAGCTCAGGGGTCACTGAAAGGACTCACTGCACTGCTCCTACCAGTGAAAGTGTGTGGAGTGGAACCCTTCTCCCCTCCAGATGTGCTGGGGACACAGAGCTGCACAGATGTGAAGCTGGCCCAGACACTTGGACCCAGTTCAGAGGCAGGGGAGGAGAGGGTTCAGCATTCATGGCTTCATCTTTGACCTCTTCCTCTCCAAACAAAACAAGAGGTTTGTTTCCTTCCCCTCACTAATAAGGTGCCATGTAGGTGAGAGTGCCCCAGAGGTTCTGCCCTCTGACTGGAGGGGAACCAGCTCCTGTTTCGGACTTGCAAAAGTAGTTTGGGTCAGGCTGATTTCGTGTATATCTTGATTTGTCTGTCCCCTTCCCTGCCAGCCTGTGTTTGATAAATGCCTTGCAAGGAAACTGCTTGTCAGGAGGGGATTAGTGCTGGGGATGTGACGTGGGAGGGAAGGCAGGGGCAGAGCTGCAGGAAGAGCTGGCACAGGGCAAGCTGGACACATTGCACTAGAACTGGTCTGGGGAGGGAGATAATTAATTGAGCATTTTCATTAGTCCCCTCCCAGGCTGCTACTGGGTGTGTTGATGATCTGGAGCAGTACAGGGGAGGATGAGTATGGAGTAATGATTGGAGAACGATTGATATGTGTGGTGTCGTGGCAGTGGGGTGATATTTAATGGTAGGAAGTTGAAAGTGTGTGTATTTAGGGGCGAGTAATGAGATTTTCTTCTCAGAGATGGAAGCTCCTCATTTGGGAGCAAGAGGGAGAGAGAGCCAGGTGTGGATGTGCCGGTGACAGAATGATGTGAGTCCCCAGGCTGGGGTGAGGAAAGTGTCACTTGATGAGCAGTGAGGACCCTGCCTGGGGCAAAGTAAGCAGAGAGATACTGCCCTAAACACTGCTGTGAGAGTGCCCCAGGCAGAGCAGAGCAGCTCAGTCTGGCTTGCAGTGCTGGCCCGAGGCTAAATAGGATATAAACTCACCGTGAATAAATTTGGGCTGTGCTTCTGGACCAGCTTTCCTCGTGTAGGCGAGCCCAGGAAAACATTTGGACCCCTTGTCAGCAGGATGGGCTTTGGCCCAGGGGAAGCTGAGCTGGTTCCTGTGGGGTGTGAACTCCCTCAGGGGAAACATCCCTGGGGGTTTGAACAGCCCTGCCCTGACTGTGTTACCTGGTGGTTCAGAATCATCAGCTGCCTCTCGGTACAGGAGCTGTGTGAGGGCTAGAAAAGGAATTTGCTAAAGGGGAATAATTCCCAGCTTGATTAACTGGCAGCAGGTCCTTGAAGAAAGTAATTATTTAAATGCATATTTAGTTAGTTAAACCAGTGAATATGCATTTCCACTGAGCACCTGGTAAACGTGATTCCTTCTTGGTTGGGGAAAAAATGTTTAATTGCCCCTGTCATCAGTGCTCTGAAATGACATTTATTTTTGAATAAAACTGAATCAGATTTATCAGTGAGCAAGATGCTAAAATTGCAAGTAAGATGCTAAAATCTGTTGCTTCACTGATTCATATCAATAGATACACTAAGAGGGATTTTTTACTACTGTTGATGGTTTTGATGGTTTTTTTTTTCCCCTGCCTTACCTTCTGTCTGAAAGCTTGGGCTTTATTCCTGACTTTAGAACTACAGCAGCTGTGATTGGGAATGAGTTTTGCAGTCGCCCCCACTAATATGAATCAAATATCTATAAATATCTTTCCTTTTCCCCCTTTTATTTTTAAGGCAGTTTCACCTTGCAGGCAAGAAGAGGTTCTCTTGCCCTGTGATACTTGCAATATTTAAGGCAGCAGACAACTGTCTCCGGGCTCTGTCTTGTGATATGATAATTTTCTGTGGAACCTGATGGATTCATTGTCAACAGTGACAGCAAGGCAGCCCTGAGTGTGTGAGAGAGAGGGTTGGGGTAAGACAAGTTGAATTGCTGGACACTTTGTGTTCTTTTCTTTTTCCACCTGCCTGGAGTGGAGCAGGGCTGAGGTGGGAGCCTGAGGTCGGTGCACATCCCGTGATCCTGCAGAACAGCTCTTGGCTAAATGCAGCCTGCACAGTTGTTTTCCAGCCTAACAGGCTGTGATGTTGTCCATGCAGTGTTATTTTCTTGGAATATTTGGCAAGGGAGAGCAGGGTGTTTGTTGGGAGGTCTGACTGTGGCTCCAAGCTTTTGAACTCACCTTTTCAGTAGTGTTCCTCCTCTGGGGCCCTATATCATCACACAGATCCTAATTAGAGTGTTTTGACAGCAGTCATGGTGATGATTGTTAATGGCACTGGTAACACCTTGTGCTGTTCCCTTTGTTTCTCCCTTGGCAGTGTCCTTGGCATCCCCAGTGCTCCCGAGGCCCTCCCTGCCTTCTCCAAATTGCCGGGTGGCTTGAAAACACTTGATGTGTGAGAGTCTTTGCATTTTGCTTGTGAACCTTTTGTGAAGGCACATTTCTGCTCTTTTAATTCTTGCAGCGAGCTTGCCAGCAGCCAAAAGGCAGTCTGTGCTCCAGCTCATCATTAGCTGCTGTCTGACAGTGACGAACGACCCCGGGAAATCTTCTCCTTCGAGGCGGGAGCTGCTCTTCCCATTCTCAGCGTTTTGTGCCTTCAAACAGTTATCCTTTCAAAAGGAAGTTGAGGAGGAGGGAGGGAGGCCCTACCTTGTGTTGGATTGGGAAGAGATTTCCTCCTCCCCGTCAGCTCATGGTGGGAGGTCACCCCTTTCTGCCTCCTGAGTGTCGGAAGCAACATCCATTCCCGGGTTGGAGAGTCCCAGCTGTTGCACTGGTGGGGATCAAGTTCATCTGCTGATGTTGTGCCACTCACTCATCTCCCTGGCAGAATTCCAATGTTTGTGGCCAAACACTGGGTTTATATTTGGCCTCTTACTGCCTTTTTTTTTTTTTTTTAATAATGTTCTTTTTGTTGTTGTTTCTTAAACACATTACATTGCCCTTTTTGAGGGACCTTTTACAGAAGGATCTCAAAATGCTCCAGGAACCTTCCTCAATATTGTTTAATGGGGGGGGGGGGTGTAACCCAAGGTGTGGAGGACCTGCAGGACTTGTGCTCCAGCTGGGAAGTGATGCTGGGACTTGTTGCTGTACACACCAGCCCTGTTCTGATTCCTAGATTACAACTGGTGCCTCCAAAACTTTGCTCTTATCTGGGCAGACTTGACATAGTCTGTCGCCTTCCTGCAGTCAGCAGATGACGTTTTAAGTGTTGGAGTCTTGTTTTGGTCTGGGACTGGATCTGGGAAGGCTGTTGGACCTTCCTGGCTGTTTGTGGTGGGCCTGGAGTCTGGGAGGATCTAACTGGATGATTTTTATGGTCCCTTCCAACCCAAACTGATTCTGTGGCTACTTGGAAATCCTGCCTGTCTGGAGGAACACACAAATCTGAGTGGTTTTCAGTGGTTTGGGGCAAGGCTTATGAAGAGGGGCCACTTCAAGTGACCTTCACCCCCTCCCCTGTTCGGACCCACGATCAGGGACATGCTGTGCTGGGGCTGAAAAGGTTGAGTGTGGTGGGAGAATCGTGTTAAATGTCTCAGCTGTGGATGAGCAGCTTGTGTTCTGCAATGTCTCTTCTGAACTGCACCAGGTGGCCAAGCCCAGCTCCTCCAGCCTGTCCCAGTGATGTGCTGACTCAGGATAACTGGAATCTTCTTTCCTGGTATTAAGACCTGAGCAGCAGGTGCTTGCTGAGGTGATACAGGCCCAGGCGTGTTGCCTGTGTGTCAGCAGAGGAGCAACTTCCTCCCCGAGGGCTGGAAGGCAGCAGGTTGTGCCACAGGGATGGTTTGGAGCCCACTTAAATGGGCTCTGTGGGAACCACCTTCTCCTGCTTTTCCCCAGTCTGAGGACTGCTCGGATCATTCCTGGAACTCTCAAAGCTTCCTGGGTGGCAGATGGATGAGGCCTCTTTGGGGACTGACAGATTAGTAAGTGCTGTGCCCAAAGGTGACCTTCTTTAGGAGGAGCCCTGAGCTCCTCACCTGACAGGGAGAAGTTTGTAGCAGCAGGAGCCCTTGTGCTCCTGGAGCAAAGAGGCACCAGCAGGAATAGCTGATGGAACACAAAGGAAAAGTGCTTTGGGAAGAGACCAATCCAGAAAGGAGGGAACTGCTTGCCTTTGATCATCTTGAAGCCTCTTCTAGGGACCTTTTTCCTGGGCAGTGCTGAAAGTATGTGAATGAACCAAGGTACTCTTGTTCCTGGAATTCAGCTGTGAACTCACCTATCTGCTACAACAGTGGATGAAGGATGTTGTATTTCTAAGAGGAAAGAAGACATTACTTTCTGATGAAGTGAAAACTGGAGAGCAGTTCATGTTGTATAGATGTGAGGATGCCATCAGCATCTTCCAAAGCCTGGATCCTGCCTGCCTGCAAAATTGTTCCAAGTAGACCTCAGCCCCACTGCTTCCTTCTGCCAGTGGGTTTGGAGCTCTGGGTTTATGCTCAGAAAATGCACAGCCTGCAGAAGAAGAGGTAAGAGAGGGCTTGGACCCTCTGCAGTGTGTCCTCATTGACTGTTTTCCCTTTGCTGGCCTGTCAGGGTGGTTCAGGTTCAGCCTTTTAGTCATTTTTTTATGGACAGTTGAGCTATGGCCTCCGGAAGCTTTTTTAAGTGGAGCTTTAGAGTGCTTGAGTTTGTTCATTGACCTTTAGTTGATTCCTCTGCCCTGGGCGTTGTTTCTGAGTGCTTTTAAGCCTGAAGTGATTGAACTGCTTGCAGAGGTGCTTCCCAGAGTAGCTCTGGCTGTGTGGGAAGGGCAGGTGGGTTTTACAAGTGGGCTGTGTTTCTATTAATAATTGCCATCCTTGCCTGTTGTCCCTTTACAAGGCAGCAGAGGCTTGGCAGAGAGTGATGCAGGGAAAAAAGCTTCCTGTCCCTTCGCCTTGTTTGCTCAGGTCCCAATCCGAGCGGTGATGTTAATTAGATAAGTCAGATACTCTGCAGAGCAGCCTGTTCAAGGACAAACAGATTTTAATTAAGGGCTGTGTGCACTGGAAGGTCGTGGCACTGCCTTGTGCCTGAGCAGTTACTATGGGAACAGCAGGAAAGCACCCAGAGAGTGTGAGTGTGTGTGAGTGTATCAGAGTGTGGGTTCCAGGGCACAAAATTCACTTTGGGGTATGGCAGATACAGCCCGAGCGAGATGCCACCCTCGGAGTTTGTAATTGGGTTTTGTCACTGTGGGAATGGGAACCTTCACTTCAAGCTGTTAAAATCACACCAGAAGTTTGATCCAAGCTATCCAGCAATGCCACGAATCAGGGAGATTGGTCCCCAGCTCAGTTTTTAGACTGTTTACTGTTGGTGAACTCAGTTTCTCAAAGATAACCTGGATGTGGGGAAGAGTTTTGTTTGTGTTGAAATTTGAGCTGGAACCAGTTTGAAATTTGAGCTGGAGCCAGTTTGAAATTTGCTTCTGTCTCTGCTGTCTTCTAACTGGAATTCAACGTTAATTCCTGTGATAGCAGCTCCTTCCTGCATTTCAGGTCCTCTCAAGATTCATCTCCTCTAAAGCTGCCTGAAGTTAATCCTGCTGATTTGAGTACAAGGTGTCTCTTGTGTTTCTTCAGTCCCAAGTCTTCTTGCAGCTGTTTGGGATGTATCAGCAGAGACTTGTCAATACCTGATGATGGCAATAAATAACTCCAGTGATCTACAAACCATGGATGTGCCTTGGGACTGATGGAAGTTTGCTGTGATCCCCAAGCTCATTCTTACTAATTTTTCCTGTGGTCTAGCAAGAGGATCAGTAGAGAAAAGTTAAACATTTTTAGTATTAACAGTCTTAATATTTTTATTTCTTTTATCAAAGCTGAGGCAGGGGCTGATGCTGCACTGGCACCACAAGCAGCTTTCTTGTGTAAATAAAATAACCACTCAAATATGGGCCTTGCAGTGAGCTTGGAATCAAGTATTTGTGTGGGAGTTTGAGGTGGGAGCTCACAGGAGCTGTGTCACAATCCCCTTCTCCCTCGTTACTCGGTGGTTCTGGGGGCAAATGAAGAGCGAGGCAGAAGAGGTCACAGGTGTGTTGGGAGAGGCTGAAACCAGCTCTTTTGCTAATTTTTCTTGTTTGGACAGTCCTTGTGGGCTGTCCTGCTCTGGAGGAGGCTGTGGGGCTGCCAAGCCTTGGGTGTTTGGAACCATGTGGAACCGACTCAGCAGGGAGATTGCCAAGCAAATGAGGTTGAATTTCAGACAGTTTAGGCTCAGAGAGGAACTGGCTTTGTTTCCTGGCAGCTGAGAAAGCACCATTCTGCCTGTTTGTAGGAAAAATGTGTTGGATTTGGTATTTCTTACGTGCATCTCCCTGTGCCCCTTGTGGGAAGGGGAGGCGAGTGCTGGGTGTGGATTTGGGCAGAAGATGTGGGAGGGCAGACCTGGGGCAGGAGGAATTCTGCCCTGGAATTGGTATTATGTGGTGGCAGGTTGTGCTTGGCCTCCACACCTCAGCCTTGGTGCCCAAGTTGCAGGGCTGGGCCTTGGCTCATGGGTGGCTTTGGGGAAGCATCTCCCAGAGCTCAGCAGGAAACTGCCCCAGGAGGTGCCAGCTGGGCAAGTTGTTCTTTTGGTCTGGGTACCATGGACTTCCTCCAAGTGCTCTTTGCCTGAGAACAGAACAGAAACCACCTTGGGCATTTGTTATCTTTTGTCAGACTGTTGCTGTTCTGCCCCTGGACGAGGGAGCTGTGTTTTTTGTCAGCAGATGTCCACCTCTGACCCAGTGGTTTTGACTTTTAAAAATACATTGAGCAGAAATGAAAAACCCAAAAGAGCAAAGAGAAGTGTCTGAACAGAAGAACAGGAACACGCTGTGCCCATCCTCCTCAGGAAGGGGCTGATTTTGCTGCAGGCAAGGCATTTCCAGTGTAAGGTTGGGAGTCCCTCTGGAGAACTTTGGATGTGCTGGTCTAACAGGGACAGCTGTAATTCAGAGAGGGCTTGGTGGAGCTCTCAAAGGAGCACGTTTCCTTTCTCTTGGAGCAGTGTCACTGCTCACAAAGTGCTCCCCTCTGACAGCATGGTGTGTGCCATTGCCAAAGGTGTCAGAAATCCATGGGAGGAAAGCTGGCCTGAAGGCTAATGTGTGGAAAAAGCGACAGCAGGAGACTTAATGAAAAGCAGACACCGAGCACTGGGAGCTGCTCAGCCAAGAAATTCTGCACAGTCCAGAGTTTTCTCTGCTATCCAATAAAAATGTGCTCCAATTTGGCTCCCCTCTGTGTTACCCCTGGGAAGGTGGTGCAGGAAGGTGGTGACTACCTGGGTATGTGGCTTCTGTGCCCTGCACCACCTGGAAGGAAAACAGATGCCGTGTTACTCTTGTGATGATTCCATATCTTGGAGCCAAGAGCCCTGAGTTTCTAATCCAGATTCCTGCTGGGAACCAGGGGACTCCCTTTGGCCTCTTGCAGGTGTGGTCTGTAAATCACAGAATCACAGAATGGTTTGGTTGAAAAGGACCTTAAAGACTGTCTCGTTCCAACCCCCTGCCGTGGGCAGGGGCACCTTCCCCGAGAAGGTGGAATCTGGATGCTCCTGTGTCTTGTTCCCAGGAGGAAATTAGTGTACAATGAAACAAACTTTGTAACCATCACAGGGCAGTGTGGGAGCACTGCAGTTGAACTCCTCTAGGAATGATGTCCTTGCTTTTTGCAGAATGGAGGCATCCTGCCTGGAACTGGCCCTGGAAGGAGAGCGCTTGTGCAAGGCTGGGGACTTCAAAGCTGGGGCAGCCTTCTTCGAAGCAGCAGTGCAGGTGGGGACTGAGGACCTGAAGACTCTCAGTGCCATCTACAGCCAGCTGGGCAATGCCTATTTCTATCTAAAGGAGTATTCCAAAGCCCTGGAGTACCATAAGCACGACCTGACCCTGGCCAGGTAAGTGAGTGAGCCCTGCCTTCATCCTCCTCAGACACAACCTTGAGCAAGGGCAACTTCTGTGGGGTCTGAACCCAGCAGCCTGAGGGGATCTACCCAGAAATACACACCCAAAAGTAGCCCCTGAGGGTGTTTGTCCTGTGGAGAACTCAGGGGGCAATGAGAATGGGTCAGCTCCCTTCAGAGCAGGGAGGTGAAGGAAGGGATATGAGGAGAGTGCTTGGAGCAAGAGCAGTTCTCCTGTCCCCAGGTAAGCACACCTGAAATCATTAGAGCAGCTCACCTGAGGCAGCAAAACAGGGAACAAGGATCTGTCTTCAGAACTGTGGGACCTGTGTGATGTCTCCAGCTGGGGGTGTGTGCTGGGAGCTCCTGGATGTGGTGCAGGTACCACACAGCACTTGCTGCAGCTTGAATTCTGCTTCCAGCAGCTGGTGAATAAAAGTCTGTGAGCTCTTTAACACCCTCACCTTGTAGGACCATTGGGGACCGCATTGGAGAGGCCAAGGCAAGTGGCAACCTTGGGAATACCCTGAAAATACTCGGGCAGTTTGATGAAGCTGTGGTTTGTTGCCAGAGACACTTGGACATTTCTCAGGAGCAGGGAGACAAGGTAATTGGTTCGTGGCATCCAAGAGGAAATATTTCCTGGCTTTAAAAATAATCTGTCTGCTGGTCAGTAAATGTGATCTGGTGGAGGTGGGCTTTGGGAGGAGGTGGAGGGTAAAGCTCTCCCTCCTGGCTGCCAGCACTGCTCTCGTGGTGCTGGCAGTAACAGCTGCCAGGAGGGTGAAGATGGGGAGAGGAAAATGTGGGCTCCTGCCTTTGACCATCCCTGCCCAGCAGTGGAAAGGTCCGTACTGGGATGTGAAGTGTCATATCTTGCTGTTCCCTGTTCTTCCTCCTTTTAGGTAGGTGAAGCCAGAGCACTCTATAATATAGGAAATGTTTACCATGCCAAGGGAAAGCACTTATCATGGAACATGGCCCAGGACCCAGGCTCCCTCCCTCAGGAAGTCAAGGAGACACTGCAGAAAGCTTCAGAATATTATGAGTAAGTATCCAAGCTTAGCCAGGCCTTTCTCCTGCAGGGAACAGGGCCCCTGAATGAGAATTTGCATGTTGAAATAAATTAGAAATATTCCCCTGAGATGCCAAGTTATGATGGCAAATTAATCTCAAGGAAGGTGAGGAAAGGACTACAAGCCTTCTATAAAATTTGAGCTAAAATTCATCCTGGCATTGCCTTGGCAAAACTCACTGTGGTTTGAATTATGATCATGCACTGAAGTTCAATAGTCTGTGTTGGGAAGCTGAACTGTCGGCTCCTGTAGCCCCTGCTGCTCTCTGCTGGCCTCCAGGAGGATGGATCCCTGTGTGTCTCCATCGCTGGGGCCACTCTCTGTCACCCAAGGGAAGAGTCCCTTTGAAGTCCTGCTTGTCCTTCTCAAGGATCTGTACTTTATCTTGCTTGCAACATCCTTCCTTTTCCTAAATAGTTTCAAAGATCCCTGTGATGTCCCACACGGGAAGGTTGTCACCAGGCTTTTGGGTTTATGTGTTTCTCCTTGTACTTCAGAGTTTTGCTTTTATAAAGCAGGTTTTTTAAGTAGGCTTTTTAAAAGAAGAGAGACAGGAGCTTACATCCGTCTCCTCATGTCTGAGGGTGTGATAGTGCCTATAAATAGCTCACCATTCTTTTTCCAAGCAGTGGTGCATGTAGCATAGCCAGTGGGTAAATCTGTGCCAGCTGTGAGTGCTCTACCCTTCTCTGTGTGCTGCATGTGTAAAAGGGGAAAAACAAGGTAAAGAAGTGCTGGGAAGATGCCAAAGAAGAGCTCTGCCATGGGACTGTGGATTCTGCCCCTCTCCCCAGGTGTGTCCCTGTCCTGCTCCAGGTGATCTCCTTCCTCCTGTGCCCCTGGTTCTGCCCTGTGCAGTGAAGTGGCCATTTCTGGTTGAATGTGGGATCTCTCAGTGTGAGCACTGGGGTGCTTCCTGCACCAGCCACCAATTGCCTGAGGAGAGGGAGCAGCAGGGACTTGCACCCCTGGCTTGGCACGAGCTCCCAGAGCTGCCCTGGCACAGGTCACCAGACTCTCCTGCACCCAGGATAGGTGGTTGGGAGAAAAATACATTCTCCAGGTTGGCTCTCCTTTCTTTCTGTGCAAGTTTCCTCGCTGTGTCCCCTGCAGAGCACTGGCTGTGTCTCACTGCACCTTCTGCTCTGGTGTCTTTCAGGAGGAACCTGTCCCTGGTGAAGGAGCTGGGGGACAGAGCTGCTCAGGGCCGTGCTTACGGCAACCTTGGCAACACCCAGTACTTACTTGGCAACTTCAGTGAAGCCATAGCCTTCCACAAGGAGGTAGGAGCCCTTTGCCTGCCTTCCTGGCCTCAGGGGCTGTGAGAGCAGCTTTCCTTCCACCACATCCCACCAAGCACAGGGAGATGTTTCCCCCCAGCAGTTTTTCTCCCTCCTGTGTGAACCCTGTTGTAGTAACTCACACTGAGCAAATCTTACTCCAGTCCCCATCAGCACCTAATGAGCAGCTTGAGGGAAGGGTGCTGTTGGCTTGGAAACCGAAGGAGGTATCCAAGGGCAAATTGCAGCTGGGTCTAGCAAGGTTTTTTTCTGCTCTTAATTTGTCTCAGTCTAGATTTTAATAAATGCAAACCATGAATTTAATTAAGCTGCTGAAAGAGCTGTTGATCAAGAATAAATGCTGCTTGTAGAACATAATAACTTTCTGTAAAGCTTTACAGGGGGGTGAGGTGACACAGTCCCTGCCCCAATTCAAATGCAATTTAACTTCTGTTTCAGTGAGTACCAGTTTCCTTGCAGTGGAACGTGCTCAGCCCCCTGGAAACTCAGCCCTGTCGCAGCAACTCTGGGTTTTTAAGTTCTGGGGGACAGCATGGGGATGGAACTTTTCCAAAGGCCTTTCCTGATGCTGAATTGCAAAAAAGAGGGAGAGATTTCCTGCTGCACCCAGCCCTGACTGGCAGGTGCAACACGGCCTGGCTGGGTGGGAGCTTTGCAAACCGAGACGTTGATGTCCCAGAGGAATTGGTGTGGGGCAGAAAGCTGTCAGTGCCCCCTGTGCCCACTGCCCTGTCTCTGCTGCAGCGCCTGGCCATTGCCAAGGAGTTTGGGGACAAGGCAGCCGAGCGCAGAGCCTACAGCAACCTGGGCAATGCTCACATCTTCCTCGGCAGGTTCGACATCTCCGCAGAGTACTACAAGTAAGTGCCGGGGAAATCTTGACCTGTTCCTCTTCCCGTGGGAATCTTGACCTGTTGCAGCGAATTCCTAAGCTCAGGGGGGCTGTGACAAGGAATCTGAAGGCCAGTGGCATGTGTGGGGGGTGATACATCCACCTCACAGGCATCAGCTGCAGTGCAGCGTGTGCCAAAGGGGGGACCTGCCAGCCAAAGGGGGGACTTCTCTGTCACCTTGCAGTGGCCAGGTCTCTTCATTCCCACCTCTGCCCTGCAGGAAAACACTCCAGCTCTCCAGACAACTCAAAGACCAAGCAGTAGAAGCCCAGGCTTGCTACAGCCTTGGAAACACGTGCACGCTGCTTCAGGACTACGAAAGAGCAATCGAGTACCACCTAAAGCACCTGGTGATAGCACAGGAGCTGGGAGACAGGTAAAGAAGTGCCTCAGGGAAGGGGGTCTCTTCTGGGTGCAGAGCACTGACCCTTCCCTGACCTACTGTTCTCTGTTTCTGGGGTTAAGTGGTGATGTGTGTTCTTGAAAGTCATTAGAAATCTCTCAAAACCCAAGCCTTGGTCTGGTCATCTGTCAGAAACGTGACATGATTGACACCTTTATCATGTCATTCAACCATGGAGGTTGTGCCCTTAATGCTGTGTCTGTGTGGGCTGAGATCTGTCACAAGAGGTACTTCACAAAAATGCATCATGCTCAGTGCTTTGCCACGTGGCTACTGCTGTGTTGTTACCCCAGAATGGCCCCTCTAAAGCTCCCTCAAGTTCACAAATACTGTGTCTTCCTTAGAAACTGTGTGCTTAGGGCATAAATACGTGCCACTTTGTCCTGTTGCTCTGGGTTAATGCTGGAAACTTCCATGTAGAAACAAATGCTGTTCCACAGAGGATGTGGAGATGATGTATTTTGTTTCTCATCCTCATCCCTCCTTATTTGGAGGCTTGGCCTCTTAGTTTTTAAAAAAAAAAAATTAATATCATCTTTTACGAGGGGTTGGTTCCTTTTTGCTGGATACTCTGTGATCCTGAGCCTTCTTGCAGCTGAAGTGACTTTTAGCGTTTTGCTGAATTCTCTTGGAAGCTGGGTGTCCTCCACTAGATGGAGCAGGGACATCAGGATGGGAGAGCTGTGCCACCACCCGGGCAGTATCTGCTCAGAGAAGGTACAATCCCACCCGAGGGTGAATCATGCTGTGTGGGGGTGCAGGCCTGTGGGCTCCTGCGTTTCTGGGAACACACCCTATGAGCAGAAGGTATTGAACAGGGTGACAAGAAAAACGTTGAAATGCTGATCAACCCGCCCAAACCTCTGAAAAGGGAGTTGCAGTCATGCTGAACCTCCCCCCGCGCCCCCAGGTGCTTTTTTTATCCCTTCTCCCCCCACATCTGCTCGGCTGCAGAGCTGAGCAGGCTCTGGGGAGCAGGAGGCTCTGCCTGCTCCTGCAAACAGCTGCTGGACCTCCAGGGACACTGAGGTGTCCCCAGGCTTGGGGGTCAGGGCTGCACAGGGCAGGTTCCATACCCACCTGCTTTCCCGGGCTCCTGGAAATGAGAAGCAGTGCCCTGGAGACCTTGTGGAAACCAGTCAATGTTCACTTGGCTTTGGGGCAGTTCCAGTTGTGCCCCCTGGGCAATGCAGGGCTGGGACTCAGCCGAGGCTGTTGCCTGCCTGCAGCATTCTCTCCTTGCCATCTTCTCACTAGTTTGGCTCTGGGCTCTTGTACAACCAAAGGGCTGGATGTTGTGTTCCCTCTTGATGTGTTGTGTGTCTCTGGAGAGGAGCCCTTGTCGTGTGAGCTGGAAGGTGGGCAGGAGCTCTGGCTTCCCCTCTTGGGCTGGTGCTCACCAGTGAAGCCAAACCATCCTGGGCCCTTGCTACACTGCTTAGTTTTGTGTCACTGTGGGCACAGACCTGCTTCTGAGGCTGCTGTTCATCCCCAGCTCTTGCTGACCTCAGGAAGAGGAGTTTCAGATGTACAACACACTTCATCTTCCTTTGTAGAACCATTGTGTAGATGAAAGCATAGCAAGAAGCCTGGCTGTCAGCGCTCTCAGGAAGGCCCTGAAAGGGCTGCTGAGCTGCTGGGCTTTGCCCAGAGTTTCTGTGGTTGACAGTTTCCTGTTCTGCAGGGTGGGAGAAGGAAGAGCCTGCTGGAGTCTGGGAAATGCCTACGTCTCACTGGGGAGCCATGAACAGGCTTTGCACTTTGCAAGGAAACATCTTGAAATCTCCCAAGAGGTAAGAGATGCTGGTTTAGATCAGAGGGAACCAGTCCCCTGTGGTGAGAGGAAGGTTATTTTATACCACTAAGTTCTATTAATGTAGTTCTTCTCCTACTGTGACTGCTCTGGAAAGCCTTTCTCTATGTGCTGTTTCAGTGGTGTCCTTAGGAACTGCAGAGCTTGGCAGGAAAACATTCTTTTGATGGGAGGCTCCCAGTCTTCCCCTTAATTGCAGCAAATGTCTTAGCTGTGCTTTGCTCTTAACCAATATTCCTGGGTGAGAAAGGACCTGGGCACCAGTTGTCTGCTCTGCTGGCCAAGGTGTTGTGCACCCAGGTGAAGGAGCTCTGATACCTCTCGGTGTCCCATCTGTTAGTAAGTCCCCCCTTTCCTGACATTCTGACTGAGATGAACCAGGCGTGTTCTGGCTGCATTTGCTGGTCAGTTAAACACGTGGAGAACACAAGGGCAGCTCCTGAGTGCTGTGTTCTGCACTGCAGCAGAGTGTGTGCCTGAGGAGCTGTTTCCTCTCAGTGGAGCTGGCAGGGAGTCCCAGCTGCTGGGTGGGCACTCCAGCAGTGTCCTAATGCAATCCATGCTGTCACTGGGCACACACAGCCTGCAACCACCCTGTGCCACTGCCACACCATTTGGGGTGTCGTTGTGCAGCTCCTGTGGCTTTCACAGACCTGCTCACCCAGCTCGCTGCAGCTTTCCTGCTGCAAGAACACACCATGGTTTTGGGTGGCTCAGAAGTGCAGAAGGCAAGAATTCCATTGTTTGCTCCTTCCAGGGTGCTGAGGAAATTGGCCATGGCCTCTTTAGTCTTCCCCAGATGAAGAAATTGCCCTCTTGAAGCACTAATTGAAATCACCATATGTGAGTGAGCTGGGTGTTCTCCTGCCTGTCTGTTAGGTTGGCGAAATCTCAGAGTAGGGCTGACACAGCAGCCTAATTACAGATTTAATTATACTTATCAGACACACAGAAGAAATACTGTTCTTTTGGCCCTGTACATTTTAGGACAAATTAACTTTTCCAGCTCTGTTCTGCTCGGGCTGTGGCAGTGTGGGCTGAGCTCTGGAGCTGGACTCTGCTCGTCAGAGTGAAATGCAGCTGAAGAACAATGGGAGGACAAGCAGTGCTGGTCCTGGGGCCTTTGGGGCTTGAGGGGAAACCCACCAGAGTGGGTTCTCATTCCAGGGTGCTGGCTGTGACCACAGGCTGTGTCAGGAGTAGGTTCCTCATGGCAGGTGGCTGATAAAGTCCCCTCCATCATTAATTACAGAGCAGAGTCTGTCCCTTTGAGGAGAACTTGCATTGGCTTCTAGCAGTGGTTCTGTTAAAGCTGATGTTTTAGCTTAGTCTTGGAAATGAGTGAGCTGCTTGTGCTGGTGCAACCAGCAGTTTGCTCAGGAGAAACCTTGTGAAATTAAACCTTTTCACACCCATGTTTGTAACTCACTTCTCCATCACTTTTTCCCTTTCCCCTCCACCAAAAATCTAACAGTGACATTTGAATCCAAATGAAATCTGCTCAGGATAACCACACTGGAAGCTGCTGCAGGATGGTTGGGGTTACTGACAAAATTCCTCTGAAACAGCTGGAATAAAGGATGTGTACCTAAAAGCCTTGGAAGCTGCCCCAGCTCTCAGACACTGCTCTGGGATACCTTTGCCATCTCTAAGTGTGGGAGGAGGCTCCTGGGAAACTGAGGGCAGAAAACAGGGCTCTGCTGTGGTGTGTTGTGTGGTAGGTCATGCTCAGGATCATTGTCCTGCCAGTCTGTTCCTGGGTTGTTAATAGGGCTTTGGAGATGATCTGGAATGAGTGGAAGTCAGGGAAGCATTTAATAGAGCATCAAGGACTGTAAGACCTAACCAGGACATAGTAATTTCTCTGGAGATGATGTCAACAGCAAATCTCCTGTAATTGGCAGGGGGATTTATGGCTGATGATAAGCCCTTTGATCTGCCTGCCTTTACTGGCGCTTGGGGCTTTGTCATAAATAATGTGGGGATTTATGATTTTGTTCCAGGACGGCTCCCGCTGCCGTCTATCGCACAGGGCCACAAAAGAGCTGTTGCCAGGCATTTAACAGGGAATTGGGCCTCTCCAGGGGAACAGCCAAGGTCTTCCTCTGTCACAGAGGCTGCTCTTGCTCTGAAGATTAGAGGCTGTTTCTGGGTGACCTCTCTGTGTTCTCTGGTGATGTGCAGCACCAGCATTTTGTCGTTCAGTTGAACTTTGAGGAGGACCCGGTGTCATGTCCCTGTTTAAGCAGCAGGAGCAGTTGGACAGAGCTCTTTCCGAACATGTACCATCAGCTTCCTTGGCCTCAGGCCAGCGAGAGGTGGAAATTTGGGTAAAATGTGGACTCCAAAAGAGTTTTGGAGTCTTGTGTGGGTAGATCACTAGGAACAACTCAAAGTTGTATGGATCTGAGCCAGGAGAGAAGGGCTTTGGGAGCATCCGAGCCCTGGTGTGACACTGCTCACGTGGCTGATGGCAGTGCAGTGTCTGGTGCTCAGTAACCATGGAAATACTTGAGGAAGGGGGCTGAGATTTCCAGGGCTCTCTGCCAAGCCATGTGTGGCTGCAGGACAGACCAGACATGCAGATTTAACTGTGGCTCAGTTCTGTGGCAGTGGGCGAGCTGAGCCCTCTCTGAACTCCACAGAACTGTGTTTTAGGGTGCAGCACAGCACACACAGATCCCGTCCCAAACTATCACCGAGGAATAGTTTCAGAGAGCTCCTTTGGGGCTGAAAGCTGGGCTCTGTGGTCTCTCAGGGTGTCTCCAAGCTCTTTTTTGGCTGATTCTGCATCTGCTTTGAGATGGGACTGGCAAACCCCTTGCTGGGGGCTGTTTGCTTGGAGCACGTGCCTTTAACCAGCTGCCCTGTTGGTGTTCCCACTGCAGATCGGGGACCGGAGCGGGGAGCTGACAGCACAGGTGAACATGGCCCAGCTCAGGTCAGCCCTTGGTCTGGGCCCTGGGGATGAGGACATGGGTGCAGCTCATCATTATGCTGGCTATGAAGCACAAGGTGAGTTCCTGGGCTTTTGGTGGCACTGGAAGGTCTCTGGAAGGACGTGGTGTGGGGAGGGGGAGGCGTTTGCGAGCGGGCAGGAAATACAAGTGCCTTCAAAGGAAAGGAGGTTGTGATGTGTTTGCTCTGTGCTTTCCATAACCTGCAAGGGCAGGGAAGGATCACCCCAAAAAAAGGGCACAGAATGAGTTAATGGAATTAATCTGCATTGGGAATAAAATTCCCCGTGCCATGCAACAAATGGGCTTTTGTATCTTTTAAAGCTCTGCAGGGCCCTTTTAACTGATTTGACTGATACCACAGGCTTTCAGAAGTGACTGGCAGGGATTTTTGGCTGCTCTTGTTCTGATTAGCACCCAAGAAGAAACCTAGGGTAGGGGCTGAAGGCAGATTGGGAGCATCAGTCCACTGGGTGACATCTCACCCTTGGGACACCTGCAGTGATGCTGAACCTGGAGACAAGAAGTGGCAAGACATGGTCACAGCAGACAGAATGACTTTGCTCAGGGCACTGGACACTGGGTCATTCTACCTCTGTTGCTGTGTGTCCCCAGCTCAAGGAATGTCCTGGAAGTGCCCACTGCAGACCCTGGTGGGTGCCTGGCACGGGCACTGCCAGCTGGCCGCTCTGCTGCGGGCAGACTTGTTAATTCACACAGCCCCAGCCGCGTCCCGGGAGGTGCCGGCTGATTAAATATGACCTTGTTAGCACAGACACGCTTTCCCAGGTGGACTGTTCCCTTTCCTGGTGGTAGAGCTGACGTGGAGAGGGTGATGCTTGGGCTGAGGCTCTGGGAGGGAAAGGCTGGCTGTGCGTGTTTGCTCTCGGTATCGATCTCAAAGGTGTCATTGGCCACGTCAGTGCTGAAGCTTTTTCTGGGAAATCAAACATGGTGAGGGAGCCAGTGTGTGTCCTACCAGGCCCCATTGGAGCTGAGCTGTTGCCTCAAAGGCCGTGGGGGCCACAACAGCTGCCCCAGCCTCCTTTTGCACGTCAGCTCATCCTCGTAACTCCTGGAAAACGCATTAGCCGGAGCCTTCCTCTCATTCCTGACATCTCCTTAGGGGCTTCCCTTTTGGCAAGTTACTTGGTTGTGAAAGGGGAACAGGAAATGAACCTTGATGTTGGTCAGAGGGAAGGGTGGTGGAATTGGGCTGATGGGGTGCCAGGTCCCTTGGGCTGGGAGCAGGAGGGTGCAGGAGGAGGGCAGTGCCAAGGACCGCGTGGGCATGAGAGCACTGGGTGCTGAGACGTTTTTGGATGGGGATGTGAGCCTGTTGTGTGGAAGAGCTGTGGTGGAAAGGGTCCAGCCAGGTTCATCTGGGAGAGGGGCTCTGCAGCTCTGACCGTATTGCACAGCCAGGAGTGCACAGCCTTTTCTTAGCTGGAAAAAATAGAGCAGGGGGGTCTCTGCTCTCTTAACACGCTCCCCGTTGACTCTGGGCTTGGATGTCACCTGCTGTGGACTGGCCTGGTGTCCCAGTGTGAGGACGGTGCACTGTGGGGGTCAGGGAGGGTCTTGATCTGAGCAGAGCCCTTCATGGGGAGAGCTGAGCCTGGTGTGTGGCAGTGTCCCCCATGGGGGTGGTGACAAAGCCCCACCACCCACATCTCCCAGCAGGAGACTCGGAGTGAGTGGCACTGAAGGGTTGGGGTTTTTCCTGGTCAGTCACGGGCTTAACCCCAAGGGTGAGGCAGGGCAAGGCAGAGCCAGCGTGTGGCTCCAGTGATCCAGATGTGCTGTGCTAACATCTGGAGCCAGCAGTGATGTTCCTCAGGCTGAGGCAGAGCTGTGCAGGTCTGTGTGAGATCGCTGGAGGATGGGAAAGGGGCTGAGCAGCTGCAGGCAGAGTTCTGGAGGTTGCAGTGACCTCGTTAATCTGTGGTGCTGCTGCTCACATTCCCAAGGCTGAGGCCGTTTGTCAACAGAAGGACAAAGTGTTCTTGGGAGGAAAAGCAGTAGATGACTGGGGCTTGCAGGGGAGAGAGAGGGAGGGGTCTGGCAGAGCAGAGCTTCCCCTCACCGGGTCCTGGGAACCTGCTGGGGAGGTGAAAACCAGCTGCCTCTGTGTTTGTGGGCTGGGGTTGTGCAGCATCATCCTGCCACAGGAAGGGAGTGTGGAAACTACACCTCACTAAGCACTGGGTGCTTTTACAGACACATCTCAGGTGGGAAAAGTACTGTCCCTGTCACATGGAGGTTTGGAGAGAGGATGGGTGTGCAGCACAGCCTGTGGAGAGGAGCCTGGCTCTCTTAGCTTTTATCCTGGCTTCAGCTCTCTTACTCTGAAATCCTGCGGAGGATGAGAGGCCACCAGTGTGTCTGAGCCCTTAAGAGAGGGGAGAGGCATTTAATGCCTACCAGAAATTTTGGTACCCTCCTGTGCACCTATTAAATGATTAGAAAAGCGTAATTATTTATATTATTAATAGCAGCAATTTATAGCAAGAGGAACATCTGGTTCTGTAATAGGAAGCAGGTGAGAGGGTTGAGATTCAAGTTGACTTCTGAACCAGCCGTGCCTTTTGATGTCGACAAATCTCATGGTCAGGAGAGCTTTGCATTTTTTTTTTCCCCTTCAGGTTCTTTTCCCTGCTTAAGGTTATAAAAGAGCTGCATATTCCTAAGGATGCTAAAATCATCTGATAAGGCAGGCCTGTTATAAAACACATTAATTTCACCAAGCAGGTAGAGTAAAGGCTGAGAAACCCTGAGCCAGACTATCACTGTGATGTCCTTCCCAAGTGACATCTGCTTCTGGGTCTTGGGCATTGCCCTTCCCGGGGGGCCTGGGGGTGGAAGGAGTGTCTGATGTTTTCTTCTGTTGTTTTGGCTCCTCTTGCTGAACACTTTGTGATTTTAATTAATATTCTGAGCGTATTTGGACGTCAGAAGACAAAGCTGGAGGCCGGGGGAGTGGGGCAGTGCTGCAGAAGTCTTGTGAAAGCAACGACCTTGTTGAGAAACGCAAACACAGAGAGCTTAAAGCAACAAACTGAAGGAAGCTGGAGAGTAGCTGAACCATGAAGTAAATAAACAGAGGTTGGGTTTGTTTCTGCAAACAACCAAAACTGTGGCCCTAAAAAATGGTCTTGTCCTCTTTGACACACTGCAAGTTAAGAATTGAGTAGTGGTTGGCTTTGTCTTCGGGAGAGAAGTGAGGGGCCTTGCTGTGGCCCCAGGGGAGTTGTTTTGTAGGGTGAAGGCAACTAGGACAAGAAGCAGTGCTGGGAGATGTCCTGGGGTGCAAACAGCCAGCCCTATTCCCAGGATAGCCCTGATGTCCCCCTCCCTGGCTGCCCTTTTCCAGGTCACTTGGGCTGGGCTGAGGCTGTAGCTCAGCTGTGCCCAGGGCTCTGTGGGTCGCAGGGGATTGGGAGCACTGAGCTGAGCCCTTCCCAGTCCCAGCCTGGAGGCAGTGCCTGGTGGGCTGGCCCTGGGTGGGTAAATCTCTGGTGCACGTTGCAGCATTGCCCTCTTCACTTCCCTGGTGCCAGCTCTCCCCTTTGGGTGCTGGCACCAGCCAGGACATCCTGCCAGCTGGGAGAGGAGCACAGGAACAGGGATCACCCACCCCCCCAGGGCTGCAGGCGCTGGCAGAAGGCAGGGAGGAGCCCAGGCCAGCCCTGGTGCCCCTCCAAAGTGAAAACTCACTCTGGGCTGCTTTTCTTTTGCTTTCAGCAGCACGTCAGCCTCAGCCATCATCTCTGCTGGCAGCAGCAGTGTCAGGAGACACCAAGCAACACCTCTCCTGGCAGCTGGGTGTAGGTGGGGAGGGATGCAGGTGTTCCAGGAGGCGTTGGCATGTGGATGCTTTCAGAGCTCTGTGAGCTGGCTCCTGGCACAGTTTCTGTGCTGTTTGCAGTACACAAATACCTCTGCCCCGCCGTGCCCAAGAGCTCTGAGGGCAGGGAAGGACTCGGCCTGACTTCCCCCACCCTCTGCTCATCTTCTGCACGAGGCTGCTCTGCTGGTTCGGTGCTCAGGAGGCTCCGTGCTGGGTGCTCTCACCCCTGCACGAGGCAGATGTGTTTGTGTTCTGCAGTGGCAGCTGAGCCCAGGTGGGCATGAAATCCCACTCCTTCCTCAGCAGTGATCAGCTCTGTGGGGCTTTGATTGTGGGGCTTTGCATCCTCGATGCAGTTTTGGGTTTGCCTCTTCACAGGAATCTTTGAACCCTCGGATCAATCAGACAGGGGGAGAAGAAAACCTGCTTTTATGTTTTCCAGCCTGTTTGGTTTTGTTTGTTTGCTTGCTTTAAATATCTTTGAAGTACCTAAGAGGTGTTTAGGGATGAAACAGGCAGGATTGACCATCCCTCTGCTGACGCAGGCAGGGAGGTGGTGGTGCTGTACCCCCTGCCAGCCCGTGCCTGAGGCTGGGATGCTGCCCAGGGACAGGGATGTTCCTCCTCCGTGGTTTGCTCAGCCTTCCTGCGGAAAACTGACTGTCAGCTGAGAGATGTGGCTGTCTGAGACCAGCATCTTGCTGACAGTGGGACAGCCCTGCTCCCTCAGGCTGTGATTTCACTGTCTAGGAAGCATTTGGCTTCCTCTGAGCAGATGAGTGCGGGGTCACATCCCTAACGGCTTCAACATGGAACCTGCCCCGTCCCTACCAGCCACACTGAGTGAGGGTAGCAATTCAAATTGCTTAAAATTAAATATCCTCAACTCCATTTGATTTTTTTTTTTTTTCCCAGGAGCTGATGGGCTGCAGCTCAGCCTTTTTTCATTCTGAAAATGAAAGCCCAAGGCCGTGCTGGTTAATTGGACCTGCTTGTGCAGGGCTTTGATGGATGAGGGTGTTGACAAGCTTTTGGCCAAGTGGAAGGCAAGGATGCAAGGTTGGTCTGGTTGCTTTATTGGGCTCTGACAGAGGAGAGCTGGAGCAAATGTTCCCATGTGCCTGCAGGAAGGGGTCCAAAAGACCTGTGTCTGTGGTGGGAATGCTGCTTCCATGGAGTGAAAATTTAGGACTTCTGAAGGATGCCAC